CATTATAACGATAATAATAATAATGTTGATGATGACAATGATGATGTAATTATAACGATGATTATAATAATGCAACGACAAAATTAACCTAAACCTTGACTCACCCTCCTCAATTCTTGCAATAATTTTATCAGCGAGACTTTTAGGAGTCTCTTTATTTGGAACTGTAATCACATTGTTGTTGTCGTCGGTGGCCATCTTGAGTTCTTGGCGGTCAGCAGCGTTGCCTATACCAACAGGGATGACTCGGATTCCTGCCTCCGTCAGTGGCTTGGATCGAGAAGAGATAACTGACGGAGTATTGCTCGATCTGGTGATAAATTAATAAACAAAAAACTTGTGACCTAGTTTACGTAATACTATGACAGGTCGGCAGAATTTTCTATTCATTCATTCGTTTCATCATTTGGTAGGCAGATCGTCACATTCTCGTTCGCGACGATTGTTTTATCGGTTTGTTCGTAGTATTTTCGGTCAGTCGTCAATCAATCGGTCAGTCGTCGTTCAATCGGTCAGTCGTCGATCAATCGGTCAGTCGTCGTTCAATCGCTCAGTCTTTTTACAGTCGGTCAGTCGTCGATCAATCGATTATTATCGTGCACTACCTTACCTCTTATCCACCATAACCACCAAGACTTTCTTTGCGTTGGGACGAGCACCAGGAGCATTTTTAAACATGTTTTCAGCATCTTTCAACGCATTGGCAATATCAGGTGTCCCAGTCTTTCGTCTTATRAGGTTAATATAACTCTTTAASGCATTAGTAGCAAACTTATCGTTAAACCGGACAATYCTTTTCGCTACTTCATCAAATACCGTGATACTGTACAAGACGCGCTCAGTACCATAGTGGTCGATTATTATACGAAGGGTTTCTTTCATTCGTCGGAAAGTTTCGTCCGCGTTCGCTGCTACCGAACTGATGGCGAAGGCAAGGTCGAGCTCTTCCAAGCGATCTACGAAAATGAAGGTTTTTGATTATGAAAGGATTGTAACGGAGAGAGTTTGAGGAAATGAAAGACATTAGGACTAGTGTTTTGCAGTTAAATAAACACGGTAAAATACTCAGGGTTAGTGCAATATTTTCACTACAAAATTCCAGGATTTTTCAAGTACTTTTTAAGCACAAAAATGCGATTTTCAAGGACTATATTTGAATATATTTTTTGATGTTTCCAATGGCGATTTTCAAAAATAGCCACATTTCAATCCAAACGGCAAAAATCAACATGTTAATATCTTCAGATTCAAGGAGTTTTCCAGGAGGTTTAGCGATTTTTCCCATTTACAAGCGCCCTTGAAAACGAGTTTTTAATTTCAGGACTTTTCAAGGATTTCAAGGAGTAGCGCGAACCCTGAAGACTGTATACGATATAATCGATTCAATACTAACAATCATCATCATATTATTTTCATCACCATCATTAACAAAAGAATTAAAACCTCATGCACGCACCAGTAAGCACTAGTTTCATAATGTCTTTGCCAAATTTCTTAGCATCTTCRTTGCTAGGCACCCTCTTGACATCATCAACGTGTGGCGTCAGGTTTTCGAGTTCTTTCGTGCTTCCATCGTCTCCGACGGCAAATGCAATGATTCGTACATTGTCTTGATKTARAGACTTTGCCGATGTCTTGATCGTGACCGCGTCGAGACCCGAAGATCTGTCGGTAATCACGACAAGTACTTTCTTTGCGTCGGGRCGAGACGCTGGGTYGTTGAATAATTTCCTGGCTGCAGAGAGGGCCTGACCAAGATCAGCTCGACCTGAAAATATTTGGTTATCTTAAAAAGGATTTACGTCAGCTTCTATATCTATTGCATTAATGTTTAATTGTTGCTGTTGCTGTCATTGATGCTGCTGTTGTTGTTGTTGTTGTTGTTGCTATTGTTGTTGCTGCTGCTGCTGCTGTTGTTGTTGTATATTGCCGTAGTTGATGATACTAATCCTAATGATATTGAACATTGCTGCTGTTACTGCAATTTCTTCTTCTGCTGTTGTTGCTATTGCTGTTGCTAATGTTGTTGTTGTTGATGGTGGAGGTGGTGTTGTTATCGTTGTTGGTGGTGTTTTYATGTAAGAAAGAAAAGAACATTACAAATGAAKAATTCAAATCCTAGTTACCAGTATTCCTCTGTATACTGTCCAGGAACGCCTTGAATTTCTCGCTGTTTGGGAACGTATCAAAGAAGTTGATTTGAGTACTTGCTACATCACCGAATACAACCAGTCCATAGTGTATTTTGCTGGTTCCATACTCGTCTGCGATCTGTTTTATGGCGTCCTTCATGAGTTTGTAGKTGCGCAATGCATCTCGTGACGTCGCGGAGATGGCAAAAGCGAGATCGATTTTAGGGATCTTCTTGGCGTCTTGGAAAATCAGGTAATAATAGAAATTACAATCTAATCAAATATAGTAAGTTATCTTGATAACAATTTATTAATCTATCCAGCTATTTTGTCCAGTTGATTATTTCATTCATTTAGTAACATTCAGTACACTCTATATTTCTTTTATCCCTCCCATATCTCATCCATTTATTCACTCTCAGTTCTAAGTACCTTGTACGATTTGCTCAATGATTCTGTCCCCTAGTTTGTCAGGGTTCTCGTTCTTGTTCGATGGTAACAGTTTATCCTTATCACCAGTCATTGACTCCAGTTCTGGTTTCTTTACTCGATTGCCGAATGATACAGCAATTACAGTGACCCCTGCATCGTGAAGCGGCTTTGCAGCGATAAGAATTTCCTAGAAAARATATACATTGTCAGAAGAACTTTGATTTTGTTACGAAATTAAAAATAGCTATGTGGGTCTACACTTCCACACTCTGGTCTCTTGTAAATAACATTTTAACATCTTGGATTGCAAGGTTATAAACCCTTATTAGTTCATGGGAAAGGAGTTCAATCTGGGGTGCAAAACAATGGATTCTAATTTCCAAGAAAGCAAAGTCTTTTCTTTTATCCTCCACATTGACTTTGGATTGACTTTAAGGGGTCTATAGGCAAACAATCTCAACAAAATCACAATCAAAATTACCTTAGGAGTTTTTCCCGAAGTATTATCCGTCATCATTACCAAAACCTTTCTCGCCTTTGGCCTCACAGCAGGGTCTTTAAACAAAAGATCTGCCCTCGCCAAAGCCTTGTCCACCGATACACCCCCAGTATAACGAGGCAAAGCATCAATGTATCGCTTCAGATTACCAACTGAAGGGAATTTCTCACTGAATTTCACTTTAGTGGACGCGATTGCACCGTAATGGATAACACCATAGTGGATCTTGTCGTTTCCATATTTGGTGATGATTGACTTGATTGTTGATTTCATGAGTTTGTAGATTTCGGCGCCATCAGCGGAAGTAGCAGTAATCGCAAATGCAAGGTCAATTTCAGGAATAGATGCTGAAAATACAAATAAAAAGTAAAGTTTTAGAATAAAGACAGCAAAAAGAACACAAAAGTACCAATAAAAACATACGTTTTAAAGACTTCTCCATTATTTTGTCAGCAAGACTTTGAGGCAATTCCG